ATGGTGTATAATTACTTTTTTTTCTTTGCCCCTATATATTTAAGAAGGATATTAAAAAATGTCCTAAATGTTGGGTTTTCTGTGTGGCTAGGTTAACCTAAGTTTTATATTTCATTTACAGGTTTATTGTGTTTGTGTGAGAAAATGTGGCTTATCTGTGCTTGTTGGGATTTTTGAGATTTTTCTTTGTGGCATATCATAAAGTCTGTTGTTTTGTTTACATCTCCATTGTAGCATTTATGTTTTTCTTACTTTCTCTGTACCTCTGTCTCTTCTTTAAAGTTGCAAAATCACTGGAGTCTGGAGTTATATCTTCTTCATTTATTCATTTCTGTGTCAGAAGGTAATTGCCTAGTAGAGATGTTAAATAAAAGTTAGTGGGCTGAATATATTAATATTGATCCTTGTAGATATGAAGAATGTTAAACATGTAAAAAGGTCAGAAAGAGATTGCCATTTCCTTTGCTTTGATTCACCGTTTATGTTCACAGCAGTGATGCCCAGATAGTGGCCTATTTTCAGGAAAACTTACAGTTGGATAAGGCTCAGTTGGAGCTGCATCCAAGGAGGTAAATATGTATTTCAAAGACCATTTGAAACTGTATGAAACTTTAAATGTAGTTGCATTTAGTAAAAACAGAAAGTTTTTAAAGCCCATTTAACATTTGCATTGGCAAACAGAGAAGCGAGTTAGAACTCCAAAGTCTTAATAACCATCAGTGCATCTCTTTCACTTTAATTGTGGGAACTGAGCCTCAAAGACTTTGATTTGCCCAAGCTTGTACTGTTAGTCCATGCTTTAATCAGAACTAGGATATATGGCCAGTATTTTTTTTTCTGCTTGATTCCTTTTTTTTAATTTTTAACTTCGGTATCATGAATCTACAATTACATGAGGAACATTATGTTTACTAGACTCCCCCCTTCACCAAGTCCCCCCCACAAACCCCATTACAGTCACTGTCTATCAGCATAGTAAGATGCTGGAGAGTCACTACTTGTCTTCTCTGTGTTGTACAGCCCTCCCCCCACATTATACATGCTAATCATAAGGCCCCCTTTTTTTTCCCCCACCTTATCCTCCCCTTCCCACCCATCCTCCCCAGTCCCTTTCCCTTTGGTAACTGTTAGTCCATTCTTGGGTTCTGTGATTTTGCTGCTGTTTTGTTCCTTCAGTTTTTTCTTCGTTCTTATACTCCACATGAGTGAAATCGTTTGGTACTTTTTTTCTCCACCTGACTTATTTCACTGAGCATAATACCCTCTAGCTCCATACATGCTGTTGCAAATGGTAGGATTTGTTTTCTTCTTATGGCTGAATAATATTCCATTGTGTATATGTACCACATCTTTTTATATGTTTATCTACTGATGGACACTTAGGTTGCTTCCATTTCTTGGCTATTATAAATAGTGCTGGGATAAACATAAGGGTGCATCTGTCTTTTTCAAACTGTGTTGCTGTATTCTTAGGGTAAATTCCTAGAAGTGGAATTCCTGGGTCAAATGGTATTTCTATTTTTAGTTTTTTGAGGAACCTCCATACTGCTTTCCACATGGTTGAGTTAATTTAAATTCCCACCAGCAGTGTAGGAGGGTTCCCCTTTCTCCACAACCTTGCCAGCATTTGTTGTTGTCTTTTGGATGGTGGTGATCCTTACTGGTGTGAGGTGATACCTCATTGTGGTTTTAATTTGCATTTCTCTGATGACTAGTGATGTGGAGCATCTTTTCATGTGCCTGTTGGCCATCAGAATTTCTTCTTTGGAGAACTGTCTGTTCAGTTCCTCTGCCCATTTTTTAATTGGATTATTTGCTTTTTGTTTGTTGAGGTGCATGAGCTCTTTATATATTTTGGGTGTCAATCTTTTATCAGATCTGTCATTTATGAGTATATTCTCCCATACTGTAGGATGCCTTTTTGTTCTATTGATGGTGTTCTTTGCTGTACAGAAGCTTTTAAGTTTGATATAATCCCACTTGTTCATTTTTGCTTTTGTTTCCCTTGCCTGGGGAGATATGTTCATGAAGAAGTTGCTCATGTTTATGTCCAAGAGATTTTTGCCTGTTTTTTTCTAAGTTTTATGGTTTCATGGCTTACATTCAGGTCTTTGATCCACTTTGAATTTACTCTTTATATGGGGTTAGACAGTGATACAGTTTCATTCTCTTACATGTAGCTGTCCAGTTTTGCCAACACCAGATGTTGAAGAGGCTGTCATTTCCCCATTGTATGTCCATGGCTCCTTTATGGTATATTAATTGACCATATATATTTGGATTAATGTCTGGAGTCTCTATTCTGTTCCACTAGTCTGTGGGTCTGTTCTGTGCCAGTACCAAATTGTCTTGGTTACTGTGGCTTTGTAGTAGAGCTTGAAGATGGGGAGTGAGGCCCCCACCCCCTTTATTCTTCCTTCTTAGGATTGCTTTGGCTATTCGGGGTCTTTGGTGGTTCCTTTTGAATTTTAGAACTATTTGTTCCAGTTCGTTGAAGAATGCTGTTGGTAATTTGATAGGGATTGCATTGAATCTGTAGACTGCTTTGGGCAGGATGGCCATTTTGACAATATTATTTCATCCTAGCCAAGAGCATGGGATGAGTTTCCATTTGTTAGTGTCCTCTTTAATTTCTCTTAAGAGTGTCTTATAGTTTTCAGGGTCTAGGTCTTTCACTTTCTTGGTTAGGTTTATTCCTAGAAATTTTATTCTTTTTGATGCAATTTTGAATGGAATTGTTTTCCTGATTTCTATTCCTGTTAGTTCATTGTAGTGTATAGAAAAGCCACAGATTTCTGTGTATTAATTTTGTATCCTGCAACTTTGCTGAATTCCAGTATTAGTTCTAGTAGTTTTGAGTGGACTCTTTAGGGCTTTTTATGTATAATATCATGTCATTTGTAAATAGTGACAGTTTGACTTCTTTACCAATCTGGATTCCTTGTATTTCTTTGTTTTGTCTAATTGCCGTGGCTAGGATGAGCTAATTTTTTATGTTATGCTGCCTTTGGCTCTAGGTAAAAGGAAACTTAAAGTGCTCTTAACAACAATGAAATTATTTCACATAGAGAGGTTGGTTAATTCAGTGGTTCTACATCAGGGACCCAGGACTTTCTATTCTGCCATCTATCCTTGATGTCTTCAGGCTTTGTCCCCAGGTTGGCTTTGCTTTCCACAAGGTTTCATGATACCTGCCTAAGTTCTCTCATCACATCCACAGAACTTCTAGAAGCAGGAAAATACATCATTCCTTCTGGACCATGTCTCTAATTTGTTGCTCATCTTTTTGAAGAGCAAAGAAACTTTTCCCAGGATGATCCCTCCTCCAGCATACTTCTTATATTGTCCAGAATGCCACAGCCCATGCCTAACCAATCACTGGCAGGGGGAATGAAGGGCTTAGACTAGTCAGAACTCATTCTTAGGGCTGGCTCTAAGCTTCTTTGAGTTTCTGATTGCTCAGCAGAATAAAACTGAGGTTCTGTTAAGAAGAAAGGAGATAGAAGACGGGCATAGGTGTGAGGTGTGCAACCAACAGTGTCTGTTATAGAATCCAGAAGTCCAGGTTGTTAACCTTGACCGATTACTGTATTCTGGGCTCTCACTCTAGCTTATTTCCTTAACTGTGAGCCAGGTCCCCCACAACTCTTCTTGACACACAGCAAGGCTGTTCTCGGCAGAACAGTGAGAAATATGAAATGTATTCCCTAGGGCGTGGTGCTCGTGGGCAGTTGCTGAGAAGTCAGTGATGTATGTGTGCTTGGGCAGCCCAGGCACTGCCTGTCTGGGGTGGGCAGAAGAGCAGAGGCTCTGTCTCCTCAAAAGACAGCCTGGCCTGGCCTGACCCAGTTCCAGAGCTGAGATTTAATCATGCTCCCCTCTGTGTCTGAGATCTTATCTTCCTGGTCTGTACTTTTCTTCTCTTAGAATCTCATTTGTTTTCTTAACAAATTTTAATTTGCCTTCTAGTCTTAAACCTCAACATTACCCTCATATCTTCTTCCTTGAACTCCCATAGTAAGAAAACCCATATCCACTGAATTCACTAACCATTCACTGTGTTAGATGCTTAGAGACAATATTAGACAACAGAAAAGGAAATTAACTTTTAGTTGTTATGAGCCAGGCTCTGAATAAGTTCCTTCACACACACTCTCTTTCTCCTTAACAGCATGTTGGTAGGTTAGGTTATTTTAACCTTTATGTTAGAGTTTATGGAATTCAGGTTCAGAAGTCAAGTCACCTGCTCAGAGAAGGTAAGTTCGGCTCAACACCACAAGCTATTAGGAGCCCATGACAGCCTGACCTCACATACATGCTCTTTCGGAACCCCAACCAGTCTGGCTTCATGGTCCTAAAAAGCACATCTGCACACATTACTGTGAGGCTCACAGTAGTAGCACTATGAGTAGCAGTACCTGCATGTGGATAGTGGGGGTTCAGCGACCATAACTGATTTGCCCCAAATCACACGGAGCTTAGTTTCTCTGATGCCTACATAGTACCCATTCTGCCACTGTAGAGTGTGCCTGGCTGAGTACATGTTTGTTGAGTGGATGAGGATCCAGACTCTAGAAGGTATTCATAAATAATTCTTGTCCAGTTATATTATGGAAAATAAACTTAATGTCACTGCCTGAAGTTCTCAGGTTCCTTTTCTCCCAGTCACCTCCCATCTCGGCTCCCCTCAGAGACCCTCTTTTCCTAGGAACTTACCTTCAATCAAGACTCACAAAGAGTAGAATCACATCTCAGGCAGGTGCTGAGATGGGTGGGGGCAGTTAGGAAGCCAGGCTCCTCTTGGGAGGTAGAGCTGAACGGACCTAGGAGTCCTGGAAGGGGGAAGCTGGACTCAGCCTTTTCCCTGCCCCAAGGTGGCAGGACTGCATTTGTTCTGGAGTCCTCAGACCAGTGGGCCTCTCTGCTCTCCATTCTGTGGGTCTTGCCCCAGGCAATCATCACACTAGTGTCCCCTCCCTCTCCTCCCTTAGCCCCGCCTCCTGCCTCTGGCTCAGCCCCACAGTCCTAGACACAGTATACACAGCAGACACTAGACACACAGCCTCAGCCCACAAGGAAACAAAAGGAGCTGCCTGGGTTTCCATGGCTAAGGCCAGCACCTTCATACCGGGGCTGAACCGTCAGAGCCCTCATTATATCCCGGGGTAAGACTTACCCAGAGCATACCCCTGCTTGCTTCTGGGAATAGGAGTACAGGGAAATAGGATTTGTGCCACCTAGACCTTGGGGGCCAAGGGGACATATCAGTATGGGAGGCCCAGGACTGGTGTCGGATGGAAAAGGAAAAACAAGGGAATAGTGGTAGCTGGGTCTCCAACGAAGCTTTGTGTTGTCTTCTCCATGGCAACAGGGTAAGAGCAGAGGGGGAGGGCTGAAAACCCAGACAAGAGAACTGAGAAATGCCTGCTCCAAATACATCTCCAACAAAGTTCAGAAAAGATAAGGGTTTCAAAGTTCTCTGTTTGTCTCTGGGGATGAGGGGGCTGGGGCATTCAGGTGGTGATTGGGTGAGTCCTGTGCTACATACAGGTACACTGGACACTGCCTACTACTTCGGTTCAGCATTGGCCAGACCTATGGGCAGATGACAGGTCAGCTACTTCGAGGCTCCCCTGGCTTGGCCTGGTCCCCTGATCATCACACACTTCTGCCTCCTATTTGGCCTCCAAGATCTCCCAAGCTCCCCAGGGGAGGCCTGCCTGTCAGGCATGGGAATGAAAGGCTTAGCTCCAGCATGATCCCTGGGTACATAGGTATGTATACAGGTGGAACAGGTACTGCCATTCTAGAACACATGTCCCAAATACAACAATCTTCCTTGCCCCCTGCCTACCCAGGTTTTGTACCACAGGCACAGTTCATCTTTGCCAAGAACTGCAGCCAGGTCTGGGCTGAGGCTCTGAATGACATTACGCAGGCGCATGAAGGACAAGGGAGTCAAGAACTGCCAAAGGAGGCCAAGGAAGAAAAAGACACAGAGAAAGACCAAGAGCCAAACCCAGGGGCAGAAAAGGAGCCAGAGCTGGAGCAGGAGGCAGAACAAGTGAGAGGAGAAGGCTGGGGGGAATGTGGTGAGGTGGGAGTGGGTACTCTTACCTTTTGGCCAGGCGTGGGGGTGGCCATGAGTAGTGTGGTTATGGGTACTGGGGATGTGGACTTGACTGCCAGCTCCTGCTCCCTGGGAGCTCGTGTTAGACACGGGCTAAATTTGATAGCCTTGTTTTTCTTCCATCACCTTCCCCTCACAAGGCTTCCCCCTATTCCATGGATGACAAAGATCCTCGCAAGTTCTTCAAGTCAGGTGAGAGGAGGTGGGAAGTGGCCAAAGGCATGGAGAGGCCCCCCGAGGTCCTGACTCGGTATCCTCATCCCCCAAGGCTTCACAGGTTATGTGCCCTGTGCCCGCTTCCTCTTCAGCTCCAGCTTTCCTGAGCTCACCAACCAGGCACTTAAGGAATTTGGACAGATGTACTCACAGGGCAGACCCCAGAAGGATCCCAAACATCTCCCCCTACTTTCCAGGACCTACCCTCCAAACCTGGGCCTTTTACCTAACTACAGAGGCTATGTGCCAGGTGAGGACAGGCCCAGAGGGAGGCACTGGGATACTTGTGTGGGGAAGGAAGGGTGGAGGTGGTTTGGGAGGGTTGGAACTAATAGATATGAGGGGACCTCAGATCATGTGATTCCGTGATCATTGTGCAGGAAAGGAAACTGAGGTAGCTCACAGTGGGGACTTAGGGCTAGAAGCCAGAGGGCAACTTGCAGGTTCTAGGGAACTGCTGAGAAGTAAATGGCTTTTCCATGCCACTGGCTACAACTGACAAATTTTCTTGGCCACACAGGCTATAAGTTCCAGTTCGGCCACACATATGGGCATCTCACTCAGGATGCTCTGGGCCTCAGCACCCTCCAGAAGCAGCTGCTGGTGTAGGCACCTGGACTCCCAGTCTCTTTTTCCTTTTCATCCTATCCCAGGCTCCTTTTGGAAGAAAGAGAGGTGGGCTGCAGGGTGGGCGGAGGGGCACAGAGGGAACATGGTTTGGAGGCCAAGCACCTTTTTTATTAATAGGTGTAATAAATAAGTAAATAAATACATAAACAGAAGCCTGGGCTCCTCGTCCCTCTTCTGACCACCAGGCACTGGCCACAGTCTATTTACAGCTGGGGGCTTAGGGATCTGGCCCCAATACTGTCACCCATACTCTTCACCACCTGGCTTAGGGAACCCTGCAAATGGGCCTTCTGGTGACCTCCTTCCATAGGGACATGCTCGTCTGTACCCACGGAAAGGCTGGCCCATGTGGGCCGCAGAAATCCCCGCAGCCCAGTGCTGAGACCCTTTCCTCCTTTCCTGGGTGGAGGTCTGGACGAGGTCACTGGGACAGTTAAGGGGGAGTAATTAATACTGAGCACAGGTACACATGGCCCCCAGTTCTCAGTCTACTCTCTGTGGCCAAGCCAGAGGAAAGGGCTCTCAGGCTCCGAGTCTGGGGGTTTATGAGGGTCCCTGAGGCCACCAACATGCACAAGGCCTCAGTTTTGGCTGCTTCCAGTGGCTGAACTTAGAGCTGTGGTCAGGGTCACGTAGGCCTGAGGCACCAGGCCAGTGTCAGGGCCACGACTGCAGTGCAGCCAGTCTCCTCCAGTTGGCCCCAGCACCCGCAGAGTGTCTCCTTTGTGGAAGCTCAGCTGCCCAGGGCCTGTGGCCAGATGGTGGCACAGTGCCTTCACCTCGCTGGGGAAACAACAAATGGAGGTCAGAGGAGACCCCACCCAAGGCCAAACCCAACCCCACAATCCTGTCTCCCAGAGCTCACCATGGAGGCTTGGAAGGTGGGGCTGGAGAGTGTGGCTCCTGCAGGCTCTCCTTCGGCTCTGGTTCCCGGCGGTTACCCACGGTCTGTGCCATTAGTTGGAACATGGACTTGTCCAAGCTGAGCCAGTCTGAGGGTAGCCTAGAGGGTGGCAGCCGGGCTCTGGCACAGACTCCTGGCTCCCCTACTCCCTCCACCTACACGACGGATAGGGATGCCTCTCACCTGTTTGTGGGCCGGGCCTCCCGCTGAGCCTTTCGGGAACCAAAGAGGTGCCCCCACTTGATGCCCCCAGGTGAAGGCTCTAGGGCTTCTGTCTCATTTTCCGCTGGGAAGGCGCTGGGCCCCTCCCTCTCCCGACTGCACCTCAACTCGGCCAGCACGGAATCCGGAGGGCTCCCCATCCAGGAGGGCCAGCTCTGGTCCCGGCCAGTGGCCTCCTCGGTGGCAGGACAGGCCTCTGCTCCCTCCACCACTCCTTCCCGGGGCGGCGGTCCCCCACCTCCTGTCCCTTTCTTCTCACCGCCAGCACCCCCGCCTCCGCGGGGGAACCTGGAACCCTCCGCGGAGCCCTCGATGTAGACCTGGGAGCTCTGCATGAGCTGGTACCACCAGCCGGACTGCCCGCCTCGCGGCCCGCCGCGCCCGGGGCCGCCGGCCGCCGGGTCCGCGTCCTCCTCCTGCTCCTCCTCGGCTCCCGCGGCGCCCACGCCCTCCGCGCGCTCCCCGGGACCCGCGCGCGCCAGCTGCAGCGTGGAGCGGGCGGACAGCAGCAGGGCCTGCGCCCCACGCAGCAGCTCCTTGTGCCGGCGTTGCCGCCGTCCGCGCTGCCGCAGCCGGTGCTGGAACAACAGGTCCAGGCTGAAGGGCAGCAGCGCCAGGGGCTGCAGCAGCAGCAGCAGCTCGTCCGCCAGGCCGGGGCACGCGGGGCGCGCGGCGCGCAGCAGGCCCCACGGCTGGTAGTGCGCGCGCAGCACCTCTGCGGAGAGAGTGCGGCTGAGCTTGGGCGGTGCCACCCGGACCCCGGGCGGCCTCGCCGCCCGCCGCCGGCTCTGAGCTCTGAGCGTGGAGGCTTGGGGGCTCTCCTCCCACCTCCAGCACCTGCAGAGACAGGCAGGGTCCTGGGCATTACCTTCGTGGTTATACAGGTGGTTAAACCAGAACTCCAGGGACCGGACGCTGTAGGGAGACAGGTGAGGACAGTTGAGCAGCGCATGGATATAAACCGACGATAAGGTACAAAGGAGGCAGACAAAAGGCAGAGACATAGGTGAACCCCTTCCGTGGCAGGCACGCTACGTGGTTCATGTCATATAACACAGTTCTGGGAAGTCGGTGGGGATGTGGGGAAGGGGCAGACATGATTCACAAGCCAATCACTTCCCCCCACCCCCACCAGTGGGGTCAGTTCGCATAAGACCAAAAAGTCAGCGCAGCTGAGTAGGAGTACAGGGCAGCTCAGAGTCAAAGGGGATGACATGGGCTCAGACTTGAGCAAAATGCTATGAAGTGTGTCCCAAGGTGGACTTAAGGTCAAGCAGGACTTGAAAGCAGTGTTGGATTTGATAGGATCGGGGTTTACAATATCCAGAGAAACTGAGAACCAGATTAATTCCAAGTAAGCCAGATTTTAGATTTGTAAAAGCCAAAGACCATGTTGGGGGTCAGCACCAGAGGGCTTTGGACGTGGTGGAAAACCATTGACCTGATGAGATGGGCTGTAGCTAGGTGGGGAGAAAGGGAGCCTGGACCCTGGCCACAGATCCTGCGGATCCATCCTTTCTGTCTCAGCCTGAGGAGTAGATTCCTCAGGGGCGCAGAGCCCTGGTGGTGTGCAGATCCTGCTGCTCCACACACTCACTTGAGCAGGCCGAGGATGAAGGCGTTGAAGCGCATGGTGTGACTGGTGAGCTCTGGGAATTGGCTGACTTTGTTGTAGAGGCCATGCAGAACCTTGGTAGATGGGCCTGGGAGGAAGCCAGAGTTGGAGGTCACATGCCCAACCCTTGGAACCCTAAATTCAGCCTGGAGTCCCCATCTTGTCACCCACCACTTACCTAACTTTGTGGAAGCCTCAACCACACTCCACGGCATGTTCTTACGTTGCCCAATGATCACGTCTAACACAAAGGCCTTGAGCCCATCCTCCAGCACAGCCCGGACCGCAGGGCACAGGTACTTCAGAACCAGGTGGGCTACATTGGGGCTCACAGAACTATTCCCCAACTTTGCCTGCAGATGCAGTAGAGAAGTACAGGGAATCATTTGAGGCTGGACCTTGGTGCTCTCTGACTCTCTCAGCCTTCATGGTACTTCTCTGGCTTCCCCCAACCCTAAATACCAACTCTGGGTTATTGATGCAAGAGACCAAGGGAAGGTGGTGTAGCACAGAACAGGTGTGGGTCCGCATGGTAGAGCTCAGCTCTCCAGTGTCTTGCTTACCTTCACCCCAGGATCCCGGCTTGTGCCAAAGTGGGCAACAATGAGGTCCACAGCGGTGTTAACAGCTTTCACCAACCCTGCAAGTGAGAATTTGACATGACAGGTCCCTAAGCAACTCCCCAGGCAACTCTGCTGGGACTGAGCCTCAGTGGGGAATGGGAAGGCCTTCCACACTCTCTCTCTCTCTCTCTCCGTGCACATGGGTCTCATCAAGGTACCCTGGCCCTTTCCTGTTTTTACCCAGTTCTCAAGCCCCTTCTGTTTCACCTCCCAGCCTGAACACAGCTGTGATTCCATTGTCAAGACCTTCAACATCCTCACTTCCTTGCTCTCTTACTCCAGTCCTGGGTCAATCTAACTATCCATTTCTCCACTCTGAGAAACAAGGCTGCTGGAGGAAGCCCAGGGTCACTCACACCAGTGACTGACAAGGGCACTTCTTTGATGTGTGCCTTGTGGCATCCTCTGCTATGCTCTCAAGTTGACAAGTCAAATCTTAACCCCTCTTCTCAAGCCCTCGGTTCTACCTCACACAGAGAACAATGGCCACTGGTCATGAATTCAACTTCCCTCTCCATCCAAAAGATGTAACTACACTCTATGTATCCTCCTCCCACTGCCCACTCCTTTCCATTTTGGAGGAAGGTGGCTGTTCCCCTTCTAGCCCAAGGTTCTTCCTTTTCCCTAAGCTTTGAGTCTCCCACTCTGCCTTTGCAAGGGACTTTAGCTTTATTTTCCCCTCTTTTCACAGGCTGCTTCTCTTCAGCCCATAATTATGCTAGATTCTTTCCCCACCATCTCACTGAAACAGCTTAGTTCTGTGGCCCTTTATTTGCTAAATAGAGTGGTTCCTTGTCAGTCCGTATCTTACTAGATGTTACCATCATGCTTACTCAAGCTTCTAGGCCCTGCAGTACTTGAACTCCCCCTATTCGAGCATGTGGGCATTTATTTATGATGTAGTAGTCTCCCTTACTACACCTGCCTCCCTAATTCTTAAGTATCTGATAAATAAACCTTGCTTACACTCGGGGTACATAGTACACAGATTTCTATCTCTTGCTCCAATGCCTGTGCTCTCTCATTTCTTCCCAGAGCTTGGAGTTTCAAGACAGGGTAATATTTTGGAGGACTAGCTAGTAGGACAACAGGCACAAGTAGGTGGTGACAACAGAATTCCTGGCCCAAGCTGGGGAAAATATTCACCCTTTTTCTGAAGCAGGTCAATGGAAATGGCCTCTGAGTTGCCATCAGGGGACAGACAAAACTCAGCTGGAGGCTTCTCAGTCAAGGAAAAGGGGTCTTGGAAGTCAGGGCAGGTTAGTGGTAATGGCTTCACTACTTGGCCTGGAAAGAAAAGAAAAATAAATGCTGATCAAAATTCTTTCCACGAATTGAAGTTCAGTTCTGTGCCTCATATTCTCTGAGACATGCTCCTTTGGAACTGACCCCTTCTCTAGCCCTTTCCAGCTGTGGCAGAACCTGCCCTGGGTATACTGAGGACTTAGCCCACACACCAGTTAGGCGGCAGTTCAGATGGCCAGCAGCACTGAGGGAGCCAGGGAACTCAAAGATGGGGTTCCTTCGGGCCAGCCGAGCTTCCTGGGGCCTTCGGTCTAGGCTCCCTGACAAACCAGGTGGCCCTAGTGGGTTCTTCCTTCTGTATTCCCGCCACTTGAGTGCTTGAGGGGATAGGTGGTTGGCTGAAAGCAGAACAGATTAGCAGAAGAGACAGGCAAGAGTTAGCAGGAGACAGCATTTCATATCCACCCAATGGGCCCATATAAAACATGCAGATTGAGCGTGTGTGGATATTGTCCACAGATCCTGGGTAAGGAGATGCAAACATCTTAACCTCTGGCCCCAGGTTGAAGTATAAGAAACGATTCAAAGGGGAGGTAGAAAGGCTAGTTGGCAGGGGCAGTGAAGCTCATACCATTACTGGGCCTGGAGGCCATGCTGCCCTCACCACCTCCCCGGGACAGGCTCTCTGCTCGGCTGAGGCTAGACCTCCAGGAGCCCAGAGGAGGCAAGCTTCCTGATCCATGGAGCCGGTACTCAGCCAAGGTCAGTATCTTCTGATCCTCCTGTGGCTGCTGGGAGGTGCCTGGCCGAAGGGCAGGAGGACAGGAGTGGCTCCATGGGAATGGGCTTTCTGTGGCTGTGTCCTGCTCCTGAGGAGGGGAGCACGAAGTGGAGGCAGAAGAGTCGCTGCTGGGCCCACAGGGACCAGCACTCCGAATGGGGGAGTAGCTGCCCAGGGGTGACGGCCTTGAGGTTTCTGGCTCAGGCCCAGCTCTCCTGTCACTTCCGTCAGTGGATGCCTGTGACTCCCCTAAGGGAGCTGAGGTTGGGACTTGAGCAGTGGGGGCGGCCAGTGGGGCAGGCTGCTGTGCACGGCTGCAGCCTGAGAAGCTGTAGAGCTGGGAAAGGCTGTGGAGGGCCCGGGCCTTGGCCAGCTGCTTGGGGAAGTGGTGCTGGAACACAAAGGGCTGAATGGGCAGTGTGGTTGGCCTCTGCTCCTTGCTGTAGCGGAGGACTGGTCGGTTCTCAGCACCACCCCCTGTGGCAACAGGGATGGAGAAGGAATCAGACACACAGACACTGAAACCAAATGAGAAGAATGAAGCACATAGGAGATGATGCTCACTGGAGAGGGGGAAGAGATGGGCAGGACCTAGGTTGTAGGAATTGAATGGGGTAGGGGTAATCCAAGTTTGTGGAATGGGACACTGCTCTTCCCATTTTTTGTAAAACTTTTCCTGTTGTTTTTATGATACTGTATTGTCTTATACTCTGAGCCATTCAATCCTTCATCTTTACCCCCACTTCAAAGGTGGGTATCTCTTAGGACTCAATTCTTGTATCTTATTTTACACTTTCTCTCCTGCATCGTTCAGGTTCACACTTTCATAAGATGACTCTGAACCCACAGCTTTAGCTCCAGCCTTCCTCTTGATCTCTAGATCACTCTGAGGATTCTGCTTTCACTTAAAATTTGCTGTTTTAAAACAATTCATCCATCAACCTTTCCCATTTCTTCTGGTGACTTTCATTCTGTCAGTGATAGCACCATTTTTTTTTTTTGTTTCAAAGGCCTAAAGACTTGGGAGTCAGAGTCATAGATTTCCAGGGTTGAGACGTTATTTATTTACTTCAAGCTTTTGCTCATCATCTCTGCTTGGGGAAGTGGTGCTGGAACACAAAGGGCTGAATGGGCAGTGTGGTTGGCCTCTGCTCCTTGCTGTAGCGGAGGACTGGTCGGTTCTCAGCACCACCCCCTGTGGCAACAGGGATGGAGAAGGAATCAGACACACAGACACTGAAACCAAATGAGAAGAATGAAGCACATAGGAGATGATGCTCACTGGAGAGGGGGAAGAGATGGGCAGGACCTAGGTTGTAGGAATTGAATGGGGTAGGGATAATCCAAGTTTGTGGAATGGGACACTGCTCTTCCCATTTTTTGTAAAACTTTTCCTGTTGTTTTTATGATACTGTATTGTCTTATACTCTGAGCCATTCAATCCTTCATCTTTACCCCCACTTCAAAGGTGGGTATCTCTTAGGACTCAATTCTTGTATCTTATTTTACACTTTCTCTCCTGCATCGTTCAGGTTCACACTTTCATAAGATGACTCTGAACCCACAGCTTTAGCTCCAGCCTTCCTCTTGATCTCTAGATCACTCTGAGGATTCTGCTTTCACTTAAAATTTGCTGTTTTAAAACAATTCATCCATCAACCTTTCCCATTTCTTCTGGTGACTTTCATTCTGTCAGTGATAGCACCATTTTTTTTTTTTGTTTCAAAGGCCTAAAGACTTGGGAGTCAGAGTCATAGATTTCCAGGGTTGAGACGTTATTTATTTACTTCAAGCTTTTGCTCATCATCCTGTCTCCAGTCAAGCTGGCACATGTCATTCTTGAGCAAATCTAGCCATAACAAAGTATTTCTTTACTTGTAGTCAGAATCAGCCTCCTGTCACCCCATCCACCCCATTCCCACTCTTTCATGATCCTGGCACTAGAGCTTCAGAGTCGACAGAGAGATGTGTTCCCAAGATTGGTCCTCTCCTATTTTTCAACCAATCTTTAGGTCAGTATTTCTCAAGACATGGGGCTTAGAACCCAAACACAAAACTCCAGGACACTGCACAGAAAGGATGTCTTTGCATATGGGTTGACTCTAAATAAAACATTGTATGCACCACAAGCATCTGAGTGAACACAAGGTGGCGCTCTAAGCATCCACAACGTTTAAAACTCTGGGTGTGGCTCACTAGCACAACTGGCTGAACTCTGAGGAAGGAATTAGTATCCTTACTTGACAGATCAGCGTATTGGGAATTTAGAGAGATTAAGTCATTTGCCAAAGGTCAAACAACCAAGAAGTGGCAGAGCTAGAATTCGGCCTAAGCCAGAGTCTAACTCTGGGACTAATGTTCTCTTTACCACGCAGCACTGTACATAAAATGGTATCAGCTAGGTTTTCCTGTCCCTCATCTATTCTCATTTACTTACTTTAGTGAATCTTAAGGGGATAGTGACTACAACCCATTACGAAGGCGTTTTAGAATCACTCCAGGGGACATTTTCAACTATACCCATCCCAGTCAGTGCTTAGACAGCCACCTCTGTCATTCTCCCTTGCTCACCATGCTCCATACCTCTTTCTGGCCTTAAACATGCCAAGTTCATTAACATCTTGGGCCTTTCGCACCTGCTATTTTTTCTGCCATAAGTATCTCATCATTCAGGCATCAGTTTCAACATCACCTCCTCAGTTAAGACCTTCTCTGACTACTCCAGCCCCTCTGGCAAGTCACACTCTACCCTGTTTTTTTGTTTTTTTTAAGCATTTTTTTCACTCAGAAATGATCTTATTAGTTCATTGTTACTCATAAGAGCTCCAGAAAAGCCCTTTAAATTAAAAAAAAGGTTTTTTAAAATTGTTCATTGCTGTATCCTAAGTGCCTATAAGAGAGCCTGGGAACGTAGTAGGTACGTATAAAGATTTGCTAAATGAATGAATCCCCACTGCCGACTTTGGCTCAGGATAGTCTCACGGCATCCAGATCTTACATATATCAGCTTGCTTCCTAAAATGCCAATTTTACTTTATCCTCTGTGGCCTTTCTGCCCACAGAATAAAGTCTGATCTTCTCAGTAAGGTAGGTATCCATACCTGCCACAAATTGGGCTGCTCTCCCCTCAAACTTCCACACCTGCCATCCTCCACTGATACCACTCTTTCCATGCCACTCTTATCTTTAAGCACACTGCTTTTCCCACTGGGAATGTATTCTTCCTTTCCATTTACTCTAACCAAATTTCAAGGCTAAGCTAACCTTGGTTATTAGAGTAGGCTTTCCCAACCATAGCTTATTATACCCCCTATATAAAGTATGTTTGAATTAGATTATTCCTACTGTTTTTAGAGAGAGTAAATTATACAAAGTTTTCTCACTTTTCTATATGAAAGCCCTTAAGAAAACCAGAGACAGAGACCACATTCACCCAAGTCTGTTCTTCTATAAGTGACACAGGCCCAGTCTTGCAATTCCTTTTAAAAAATGGAGTACCCAGAACTCCCATGTGAGCACTGACAGGTTCAGAGGAGTGGAGAACTGTCAACTCCTCCTTTCTGAAGTCTATGAATGAATCCAGTCACTTTAACTTTTTGGAAGCCCTTCCCAACTGCTGACTCACCCTGACTGCAACCAATTGAATATCCCCAGTAAACTCAAGTACGGCTCACACACTTCACATGGGTCCCTGCTTTATTAGTTTTGTTCTTTCCAGATTTTGTAATGGTAAGATCCTTTTGAATCTTGATTTGGCTGCTCGGGATCTCAGCTTTTGTTATTCATGAATTCATTGAATTGTCACTCAGATTTTGATTTAAAAATAAGTTGAATCAAGAGAGCAGCCTCATGGTGGCCCGCTGGAGACTTACGGAACAGAACAGCATCTCAATATGAAAAGTCTTATCTGATAGAAAAAACACTTCTCACACCTCTCCTCCCATCTCTGAACTGGGATTGTTCATGCCCGCAGAATGCCAGCCCCAGCATCCTGTGCCTAGATACACCCACCAGACACTGCAGTCTGAGAATGGAGGGGGTTCCAAAGGACTCTGGCCAGTCCTGGATATTTCTGAACCCCCTCTTCCGTGGAGACTCCCCTTCTATTCCCCACCCCAAGGGCAGCTCCTCTGTGTATGTTTAGGAATGTGAAGTCTTCTGATGGACTAACTCCCTAACAACAGAGATAAATACCATTTATGGTTCTTTAACCCCTTTCTTCTGGGAAGCCAATAGACCCAACCTAAGTATACAGCACGGCAATTGCCCCTTTATTTCCCTTTCCCTTGCTTTATTTCCCCTTTCCTTCCCAATTCTGAGATCTATCCCCCACCCCCTACTACTCCCAAATGTTACTTTCGGGATTCTTCAATCTTAATCTTTGAGATTTCTCTTCAGAACACATCTGTTGAGCCTATCTCTTTTTGAAACTTTCTCCTCCTTTGGTGCCTGTGTCTTCACTATCTCCTGGTTTTCCTTCTATTTTCCCAGCTAATTCTTCTCAGTCTCCTCTGAGGGTTGCTCTGCTCACCTTAAATAACTGTATCCCCAGGGCTCTGTCCTTGTTCCCTTATAACCCTGCACTCCCCCGGATGCTCTCACCCACTCACAGCATCAACCAACGCTTTCACTCTGATGACTCTCCAAACATGGTGGTCTCCTGACCTCTGGGGAGACATTCTTCCTAAACAGCCAGTCATCTTTCTAGGATGCAAATCAAAACTTGACACTAAGCTGTTATGAACAAAATTTTCCTGATGAAAATCATGGTTTCATCCATATCCTGTTATGGCTATACCAAATTATTTGCAGTTTCTGGAAAGCATCAAGTTTTTCCTATGCTTTTGTGGTTTTGTATAGGCTACTGTATAAGGTCAGAATGTTCTTAGAAGTCTCCACAGAGCCTCTTCCTAATCATCTTTCTAGACTGCACTTAAATGTAAACTATGTCAGCAGTCCCTCCCTGACATTTTAGGCTGTTTTGACATCCCTCTTATACACCAGTACCATATACCACCATCTCTGCATTTTAACTGTTTCCTTTTCTGTTTCCATCCTTACTTGGAATTCCTTGAGGGTAAGGATTGTCCCTTGCCTCTTTCTATCACTTTCACCCACTTAACATACAGTCTTTATAAAATAATTACTTAAATGTTATAAATAGGGAAAGAGATGGCCTAGGCTTAAAGGTCAAGTGTCAGGTTTCAGGCTCTTTGAAGTGTGGATACACAATCACCGATCAAAGAATGAACTTCGGACACCCAGTGTAGTTTGCCTGTTGGATACATTGCTTAAGTCCTCAAAATTCCTAAACGTCCAAAACTGAACTCAGGCCCTCGCCCTTTTCCAGTATACCTACTTCCATGTTTGCAGTCCCTATCCATGTATCATCTTTCCAGTCACCCAGGCTTAGAATCACAATCTTCTGAGAATTTCCTTTTCCAATGCATCTCTCTCTAAGTTCTGTTGACTTTATCTCTTCAGTGTATTTTTATCCTCTATCCTCCTTCCCCCCCTTAAAACTGTAGGACATTCCCTGGCCTGGGAAGATGATCAGTCTAGACTAAGCGGCACGGACCGGGTGGTTGGCAGGGCCCTATCATTGAGGAGGCCATGCATAGATCTTGGAATTCTCCAGCCTCCAGGTTCCTTACCGTCAGCTCGAGCTCTTGCATCCCTCTGGGCATGGCTGTTGGCTGGGCTTCCTGGGAGAGCAGGCCCTGGATCCATCAGTTGAGTCAGGGGGCCTTGCCCAGCAGCTCTGAGGCCAGCAGGTGGCATCTCACTGGACTGGGGGCCCTGACAGACTTGGGTGGACCAGGGCTCTGAGCCAAGTAAGTCAGTGCCTGGCCCCAAGGGCATGGGTGGTAGGCTATGGCTACAGCGAGTACCTTCATCCAGAGGGCCCACCCTATCTCGCCGGGCTTCTTGGATGGGTGAGAACTCCTGGGAGGAGTCCCCAGTGCTCACTCGAAGTGGGGGAGAGCCAGAGCCTGCAGCTTTCTTCCGGCCCTTGGCGAGCTCAGCAAAGGATGTGACCCGCCTAGGTGGGGAGCTAGGCCCGGCCAGGGCTGCAGGGCCCTCACTCAAGCGCACTGGACAACTCAACATACGTTCCAGTGAGCCCAGACGGACAGAAGGGCTGCGCTCAAGGCTGCGATCATAGCTTCGGGAGCGCTGACGTCCACCAGTGCTGAGGTTGGGGGGTGAAGTGTTAGTGTACACTTGCCCCTCGATCACAGTGGGGCCCACAGGAGCTGCTACTTCCACTGAGGAAACCACTACTTCTTGTTCCTCTGGCTGCACTTCTGGCTTCTGGAAGAGGTAATACTCAGAGGGCTGGCTGGGGCCAGGGCCTGGTGCAGGACTTATCTTGGTGTGTTCCTCAGAGCAGCTGGTGATGGAAGAGCCAGCTGGGCTGGGGGATGATTGGGAGGACAGGTCACAGGTGACAAGTTTATAGTAATTCTGTGTGGCCACAACAAGACGGGCCTGGCTCTGGAAGCAGGCTGTGAGGTCGGCCACAGCTGGGCAGGGCTCACAGTGTGGTTGGTAGGAGTTGCAGTTGGCATCAAGCTCAGGAGATGAGGCATGAGGACAACCAAAGCCCCCTTCCCTTCCTCCACTGTCAGGGTGGTGGGACTCACAAGACATCTTGGACTCAGCTGGGGAAGTTTGCAGGTCCAGGTAGAAGGCGCCGGGGTCTGAGTGGCTGCAGAAGGAAGAGTTGCTGCAAGATTGTGGAGCAGAGTTGAGATTGGCATGGGAGTTGCTATGCATCTTGTTGTAGAGGGTGCTGAATGTGACAAGCACCCCATCTGAGCTGTTGTACGAGGAGTCACTCACATAGCCCATGGACTGGTCAGCCGCCTCAGACTGACTGGAGGTGCTACTGCAGCGGCAGTGCTGGGCTCCCGAGCCTGAGCACCCGGGGTTTCTTGGGGACTCATCTGAACTGAGCTTCCATTCCTGGTCAAAGGAAAAGCCAGAGGTATCACTGGCTCCACCTCCACTGCCACTCCCACCAGGACCCCCACACTCATCCAGTTCCATGGTCTCTGCTTCCAGCTCTGGCCGGCAGCTGTGGCTGGTGCTACATGGCTGGGTATCCAAGGTGGGTGCGGGCTCCTGCTCCTGCCCTTCTACTACTCCAGCCCGACTACATGTTGCCCCCCATGGCCTGCCCACTCTGGGGCCAGGAGGTGGCAGCTGGAAAGAAGACAGATGGAAGGTGGGCTGGCCAGCCCCATGCAGGTGGAAGGACTGCTGGGTGGCACTATCACAAATGCTGTCATCATATAGGTCACCAAGTCCTGGCTCAGCCACACTCTCTTGCAGCAAGAAGGGATTGTGTCGTTTAGGGGGCCCGGGGCCTCTTCCATCCCTACCCCTATTCTTTGTGCTGTCTGTAGACCGCACAGATCCCCCTGGAGCAGAGTGCAGACTGTTGTATAGCAGGGAGTCAGCTTGTCCTAGGTCTTGATCAGGCTGGGTGATGCCCAGTTCAGGTGGGCAGAAAGGATTGGGTCTTGTGCTCCCACTACCTCCACTTGCCCCTCCACAGCACTGCCTGTCTGGGACTTGACAGTGCACCAGGGGGATGTGGTGGACGATGAGGGTCTCTCCAGTCAACTTTGGGGGACTATCCATTCTGGAAAGTTCGAACAAGGGCATCAACAGCACCAGAAACTGCCCCCAGAGCCCAGTGGGGCAGAAAACATTTCATCAGGAGACCTTGGCACCTGGAGAGAGAGGGAAAGAAAGGGAACCTAATGTCACCTCTCTGGAAGTCAGGGACATGCCTTACCCATATCATTTTCAGATGGGAAAGAGCCCAAGAGGAGAAAAGACTCAGAGACAAGACTGAGCTTGATAAAACAGCCCGAGAGGGCAGGAGTACCCCACCACCCTTTCTGTACCGCATAGGCCCAGCCTTTGGGATCCCCTTTCATTTTCACTTTGCCATGCATCCACTTGTGACAAAAGGCAAGGCCCCTTTTAATGTCATATATGTAGGGCTGGGGATCTCAGGGTCAGCACTCACTCCTTCTCTTTTGAGGCCTCTGTTCTTAGCAGTAAGTGATGACTAGTCCTGAGTACAAAAACAGTATGAATTGCGATATAACTAAGAAAAAACATCTAGGATGTCTGAGAAGGTGTTAGGCACTGAGGGGATACAGAAATGCCTTTAGATACAGCTACTGCACTCACGTTTGCAGGTGAGAGGAAAAATTACAAATAATGTATATCATGTGCTCATAGCAATAACCTATAATTTTGCAAGAAAAGTATTTTAAAATACACTATATCATTTGACCTCTATGTTATCTTAGACCTGTTTTCTCCCCTGCAGGCTAAGAATCCTCACTCTTGGAGCTTCCTGAATGCAGAGACAGAGTGGGGCATTAGAGAGACTCCAAGTACAGCTGATGCAAACCTCTTCCTTCTCAGTGGGGGGTCTACTTTTATTTCATTTGTATCGCTCTAGCCCAACCTCAAATAAGTCCTGGAAAACATGACAGGCATAATACATCCCTAGTGTTTGTTCAACTCAGGGTGCAGATCTGCTGAAGTACCAGATTCTGTCCAGTTTTAGCCTACAACTTTCACTAGGGGTGGAGGTCCCCAGAAAGTCTTCTCTCCCCAGTTTTACCTCTGACAAGCTCAGGTAAAGTTCTCTTTTGTTCAAGATCTCCTGGCCTCAAGGACACAGAACTCACTCTGAGCTTCTCTGGTCTCTTGACCAGACTGACAGAATGGCCTCCCCAAGTTCTAGTCTTCTGTGCTACCAAGTTCAGGTCCCAACAGTCTTCACTTGCTTGGACTCCTCATATCTAACTTCTCTTCATTCATTCATTTCTCTTCCTTGCCTTTTTATTCTTGTTGTTTTCCTTTTACCCACTGTGAGTCTAAATCTCCCATTACCTAAGTTCTCCATCATTTAGTTGAATAATTAATATCACCAATTTTAAAAAATTTAACTCACTTAGTTCATAGGATTACAGCTCTTCATGTGGAGTACAGAGAAGAGCCAGCAGGTCACATATGCTCAAGGACATGAACAGCTAACCCATAAAAGAAAAAAATTCAAGTAGCTGATAAATACATGTGGGAGGGACACTGTATTAAAATAAAATAATTTGTGTTAAGTTAAATTACATTAAAATAAAAAGGCAAACATTTACCATCTTTCTTCCTCCTTTCCTTTTGGAAAGGAAGGCTTCTTTGTTGGATTTCCAAGCTTTTGTGTAATGAGGAGATATAGAGAAAGAGAGAAACTAAAGAGGCTAAACTGAGCTACAAGATTAGAGTTATAGAAGAAAACATGGGAGTAAATCTTTGTTATCTTGGATTAGGTGATGGTTTCTCAGATATGACACTAAAAGCACAAGTGGCAAATGAGAAAATGGATAAAGTGAATGTCATAGTTTAAGAATCTTTGTGCCTAAAGGTATCCTTTGAGGAAGGTGAAAAGACAACCCAGAGAGTAGAAGAAAATATTTGCAAACCATATATCTGGTAAGAGACTGATGATCAAAATATGTAAAGAACTCAGACAGCTCAATAATAAAAAGACATATCACCCAATTAAAAACTAGGCAAAGAACTTGAATAGATATTTCTCCAAAGAAGACACATGAATAGTCAAGAAGCACATGAAAAGGTGCTCAACACTGTTAGTCAGTAGAGAAATAAAAACCACAGTAAGACACCACTTCACCTCCACTATGATTCCCAAGATAAAAGACAAGACAATAACAAATGTTGGTCAGGATATGGAGAAACTGGAATCTTCAAACATTGCTGGAGGCAGCGTAAAATGATGCTACCACTTTGGAAAAACAGTCTGGCAGTTCCCAAAGTGTTAAACATAGTTAATATATGACCCAGCAGTTCTTTTACTAGGTATATATATATATATATGTGTGTGTGTGTGTGTGTGTGTGTGTGTGTGTGTGTGTATATGTGTGTATATATATATATATCTCCAAGAGGAATGAAAACATATGTTCACACAAAAGCTTGTATATGAATATTCATAGTAGCATTAAAATTGGCCAAAGAAGTGGGAACAATCTATTGTCCAACAACTGATGAATGGAGAAACATCATGTTGTATGTACATGTAACAGAATATTATTTAGCATTAAAGAAGTGAAGTACTGATACATGTGACAACATGAGTAAACTTCAGAAAGGTAAGTGAAAGAAGCCAGTCGTAAAAGGCTTCTCTGTATGATGCTGTATGATTCCTTTTACACAAAATATCCAGAATAGGCAAATTCACAGAAATACAAAGTAGATCAGTGGTTGCCAGTGACTGGGGGACTAGGGGATGGGAGTGGCTGCTAATGGGTATGGAGGTTCTTTTTGGGATGATAGAAATGTTCTGCAAACAGACAGTGGTGATGGTTACAGAAGTCTGTGAATAAAATTAAAACTACAGGATTTTACAGTATGTAAATTATATCTTACCAAAGCTATTGCTTCAAGCATTTTATAAAATAGAAAAAAATATTATTTTTTTCTAGGAAAAATAAGGTTTACAGGAAAAGGGAACCAGTGTTGAGCAGTGCAGGGGACCAGGCATTTGCAAAGACAAAGAGTGAGAAAAGAGAATAGCTGCCTTCATGTGTGGGATTTACAGACAGAAATAAAGAGGGTTTTTAGGAAGTTTTGCTGTGAGGTACATGAGATAGTTTTCTCTTCACTGCTTGCCTTCACCAAGAAAACTTTGGGTTCAAATATATATGCCATATGGATAACAGAATGGGTACCTAAAATTCTAATAATAATCAATAAAAAGGTACAGAATAGAATAGCATTAAAATGTTGTTAATGTGATTATTGGTTTGTGAAAATGTTCACAAAATATTAAGCAAAAATAGCATATTATAAACAGCATGTACAGTATGACACCATTTTAGAATAATAGTATATCTATATCTAAGTCCTATCAGGGTTCTGTTACAAAATACTTCAGACGGGTGGCTTATGAACAGAAATGTATTTCTCAGTCTGGAGACTGGGAAGTTCAAGACCAAGGCATGAGCAAGGTTGTGTTCTGTGGAAAACCCTCTTCCTGGATAACAGTGGTGCCTTCTAGCTGTGTCCTCACATGGTGTAAGGGACAAGGGATATCTGTAGAGCCTGTTCCATTAAGAGCACTAATCCCATTAGTTTGGGAGCTGATCATCTCTGAAAGGCCCCACCTCTAACTACTATTACCTTTGGGGTTAGAATTCAGCATATAAGTTTGGGGCGGGGGTTGGCGGTAGGGGTGAGATAGGGTGGGGAGGACACAAACAATATTCATGAAAGAAATTTCAAAGGCAAATACAAGATGTTAACAGTGCTTATCTCTTTTGAGTCATTTTGTATTATTTTTCATTTTATTTTTTTGTTTCACCTGTTCTCTAATTTGCATATACTAAATACCCATAAACAGTTTTGTTTTTTTTTCTTTAGACATCACAGACACCATGTGTTTGGCACCTGGGAAGGAGAAGGATGCTTCCCCTTACATACAGTACTAGGTTCCCCAGGGTCCAGACCATAATCTGAGGCCTGGACTGAAAGAAGCATATATAACTTTCTTGTACATATAACAGTAATTTTAAGAGTACCTATAAGCTACAGCCATCACTTGGTATTCAGTGAATACTTTCCCCCATCTTTAAAAGAACCATTTTCAAGAGGTATTCACAAGTATACAGAAATAAGACTATGATTCTGACCTAGAGTGACACACACAGCCTAGAAAACTGATCCTCTAAACCGGGGATAAAGAGCAAATGGATAAAGAAGGTGATGAAGAACCTTTGGCTAGACAGCACTGACAGTTGTATAATGTTATGTTTATATATTTGTTCCTCAGACTGGAGTGCAGCTCCTTCAGGTCAGAAACAGTGATAGAGTCAGCTGTCTTCCTGAAACCTATACATAGGGCTTGGAACACAGCAAGTGCTCAGTTAATTGTTGACTAATATTTTACACATGTAAAAAATTGACTTATGTTTTTTCTTATTGAATTATAGAATTTTAAAGTTTATTCTGACTATAAGTTCTTTGTCGGACAAGTCTTGAGAATATGTTCGCACAGCCTGGGTCTTGCCCATTTGTTCTCTTAATGGTATTCTATAGTTAATAGAAGTTTTTAATTTTATGAAATCCCATTTATCTGTTTTTTTCCTTTTATGGTTAATGCTTTCTACATTCTATCTATGAAACTTTGCCTATTCCAACATCATAAAGATATTTTTGTGTTTTCCTAAAAGTTGTATAGTTTTAGCTTGTACATTTAGGTTGTGTCAAATCGTATCGTAAGTGTCAAGCTCTTTCACTGTTTGATTTAATTTTACATTTTTGTATCTCACAGGTCTTACTCCTTCCTGATCTTCACACAACCACAGGAAATGCTTGCTAACAGCTCCTCCCCAGACAACTACTCCCACCAACTAAGGCGAAGCCCTGCAGGCATCTCCTGAGGATCTGCATTGATGCTTCTCCCCCTACCTTCCTTTCACATTTTTTACAAAGCACTTTTTTAAGCATCTTATCTCACTCATCCTTACAACAACTCACCAAAGCAGGCCACTTTCATTTTAAAAATTAAGGAAATCAGGGAGGAGCCAAGATGGCAGCGTGAGTAGGACAGTGGAAATCTCCTCCCAAAAACATATGTATTTTTGAAAATACAACAAATACAACTAGTCCTAAAAGAGAGAACAGAAGATACAGG